TGATTGATAAAGGTTAGTCGTTCTTAGAGATTACCTTTATTGACTTCAAAATTGTTATCGAAGGTACCTAATTTTTTTCAAACGATTTAAATTTTTGTCAGTGTCATTTTCCTGGTGTGGAAATGCCACTTCTGTTTGCGTCATGAAAGGACGAATCGATGAAATAAAATTTAGCATCAATAAAAATAATCCTAACCGATATAATTACGTACAAAAACAAATTTACAAATTATGAATGATAAAGCTACTTGAACTAAATAAACAATTATGTTTTTTGTCAAGTTGGCTTTATATCATAAAAATTAGATAGCTTTAAAAAATTAGAAGAGATTTGCTTATTTTGTTCTAAATTCTTTTCTAATTTAACTTCGAAAAGTAAATCATCAGCTTTAATGCACATCAGTAGGTTGTATCGTCAAAAAGAGCTCTATAAATAAGAGCCTCATACAAATATTTTGAATTTACTTATTTGCTTCGTTAATTTTTTTTTTCGCCTTTCCTTACTTTATCATTTGATGCAGATGTTTGTCTGCAGCTAGGAGAGACCATTAAATCTTTCCTTTTAATGGTCTCTTCTAAAGGTTTTCTTCAACTCAAAGTATATGGAAAAAAGTGGTCGTAAATAGAAGTGGTCGCTACATGGAGGTTTCTCTGTATTTAGCTATTTGAACGTTATTTCGGACTATTTATTTCCAGGGCTAAGGAGAATAGAAGGGCTAGTTCACTCCTTTGAAGAAACTCTCGCCGCGTCAATCCTCCGATTTTCTCTAGTAGCGTCACTTTGGCACGAAGATCGCACTTTTACTTCAAGAACAGAGTGTTCGGCCTTACTAGCTCTAACTAATATTGGAGCATTTCCTTTTGTGACATATTCTAAGACATTTGTTATTTTCTATAATGACTTTCCTCAGTTTATGCAGTGAATTTATAAAAATTTAAAACTATTATCGAAATGCCAGTTCACGCGATTAAAACATGCAAAAATTCTGATAGAAAAACAAGAGGAAAAAATATAATTTTCCGCGTGTTCCCTAAAGTAAATGAACTACTATGTAAAGAATGAATTCCGAAATGACAAAGTTAATGTACAACAGCAATACGTTTTTTCTATCGTTAAGAACTTTTATAAAAATTCATTATCTAAATAGAAACCGCTTCGTTACTTCAAAAAGAAAGGCAGGTGAAACAAATTAAAAAATGGATAAAGCCAAAAAAAATTTCAACGTAAATAAAAAGTATAAATAAAATATATAATGTATAGTTGAAATTCTCCTAATTTCATAACATATTTTTTAATGTAGTTATTCTAAATATTTATGATTTTTTAAAAAATTATATTCTCTTAAATTTAATTATCTATAAATTATATAGTCTTAAATTTAAATATCTATAAACAATTGTAAAATTTCTAATATCATTATGAACCTAAATTATTGTTTTGTTTCAGTAATTAGCGTTTAAGGTTGATGTTTCCTAATGATTAAGTATGAACAAATTACTATTAACGGCATATTTTAAAATCAGGGATTCTAAATTTAACTCAACTTATTGTTATAAAAGAATTTATAGATAAAAAAGTGTCGATATATGCTTTCATTTTTCTTAATAATTAAAGTTAAAACTGAACTTTTTAAAATAAAGTATTTATAGTGTTATTTTCGCCAAGTAGTAAAATATTTTTATAAGTTTAAAATGGTATTTTTTTAATATAATGGCCAAGAAAGTTTTTTTGAACTATGTTTATGAACGGAAATATTGTGTTAATTACGTAAAGTTTGAAAGCTAATAACCAAAAAAAGTCTAACTTATTTTTACAAAGAGAAAGGTGCAAAGTTATCATAATATCTTTGCTTGCGATCTCCGAGATCTGTGGACACAGTGACGTCATGAGGAGAGAAATCGTAGCTTCAGCTCTAAGAGCGGAATGAACTAGCCCTTCTATTCTCTTTAGCCCTGATTTATTTCAGCATTATTGTATATAGATTTAAAAATTAAAGCTCAGCTTCAAGGCACTCAAAATGGGCCTCTTTTATGTTTACTTTTGCTTCAAAAACACATCCAAAGTTAGATGATCAAGGAGGCAATTTTTATGTTTCAAATTTAACTGTTCACGATTTGATATTGGCTATTTACCGTTTTTTTCTTTTGTTGAAATATCTCACCTGCTTAAAAAGATTATCATAATCTCTAAAATTTTAAAAATATTTTTTTCCAATTTTGACATTTCCATTTTTGACATTTTTTTGTGTTTCCTCATTTGACTTTTTCCGAATTTGGTGCAGATGTTTGTCCGGTCACTGGGAGAGGTTTTAATGGCCTCTCCAAAAGGTATTCTTCAACACAAAGTTTTTTTGGAAAGAATTCCGTGCCTCATATATATATATATATATATATATATATGTTTTTGTATAATTTTATTACTTAAAAAACAATATTTTAACTTTTTTCTTGCTGTTTGTATGCCTTACCATATTCATGCATAAATATAATTGGATTTATCCTCGTTTGTCGAAGTTTTAAATCACGATGAAAAATTATAAGAAGGAGGAGAAATTTGATTCAAAGTACGTATTTAATTGGGCAGTTTAATGACGTATAAAACATCTTATTATTTGAGTTTAGGGGATTCTTTTTCCTTATTAAATTGTAAAATATTAACTATAAAATTACCCAACAATATACAAAAAGTGCTAAAAATTAAGGTTTATTATTTTTATGTAATAATTAAAAAAACTATAAATTGTGTATTATGTTTTTTGTAAATTATTTAAAAAAATATTTTGTTTCATATAGGAATTTACTTTTTTATATATTTCATATTACATGTTCCATATTTCCTACTAAAAATTGCATTTTCTCTTATTATTAAAAGCTTGAATCATAGGAGAATATAAATATACCGTCAATTGATTTTAATACAAATAAACTTAGTTGAAAATATTGAGTGTCAAATAAATTAAAGAAGTGACTCACTCTAAATATTTTTTTTCATTTAATGATCGTTATTTCCTTAGTAAAAATACTATCTTAATTATTCGAAGGGCATGCCTTAATAATTTTGAAAATTTAGAGCCATTTTTTTAAAGAAGCATCAGAGAGGTATGGGGGGTTAGAATACTCGATTATGTACTCGATTATGTTGGAATTTTCAGGCTAGACAAATGTTTCTACGGTTAATTATTCGACTTTTATATAATATGATCTTGAATTTTGAGGCCTGCACTCGAGTAATTGTATACAGAAGTAATTGCGGAAAAGCTGTAAATTGTTTTGAAAAATGTATAGTTGTAGTTTATTTATGTCACACTAGAGCTGCCCAAGGGGCTATTGGCGACGGTCACGGAAACATCCCTGAGGATGATCCGAAGACATGCCATAACAAATTTGATCCAGCAGAGGGGGTGGTACCCCCGCTTCGGTAGCCCGATGACCTGCGCGCCAAGTCGAGCACTTTACGATAGAATAGTTTAACGAGGATCAATACCGCACATCCTCGGTCCCTTCGTAAACTGATCCAAGTGGTCACCCACCCGCACACTGACCGCAGCCAGTGATGCTTGATTTCGTGTCTTAACGATCAGTGCACTGCGGGACTTAAAAAATTTGATTCAGGCCTAATAAGAATACATAAAGTTCACGCTCCCCCCCCGAGGTGATCTGTTGTCTTAATCTAGGATTTACTGAGGAGGAAGGGGCAAAGAGTGGCAAAACTTACACGTTGCTATCTAAAAAAGTGATATAATATCTACTGTTTGCAAAAAAAAAAAAGAAAAAAAGAAAAGAAAAAAACACGTGTCTTATACTTTTACATAAAGAACGTACTCTGAAAATTTCAAGAAAATCAAAAATGTCAAGTATATCCAACTCTGATTTGATTGATTTGCCAGATATTTAAAAAAAAAAATTCTTAATCAGCTCTGGCCATATTTTAAATACAAAATTATAAATAAAGAACGCACTTTCTCTTAATAAACTTACCTATTTTTTAGTGGATTTATGTTTCACCCTTAGATTATGGAAGATCAAAAATTGCACTTTCACTATGACACTTATTCATTGCACATGAGACTCAATTACGTAAGGATAAATCTAAACAAAAAAAAAAAACTTAAATCCATAATTTTTTTAAATTTTTTTAATGAGAATTAAAATTTCATTCAATAATCAAACTAATTTTAAAGTGTTTAATTCTGCGTTTATCAATTCTGATTGAGATTTTGATATAATTTGTGTTTATGCCAAACATGAATTATAAAGTTCGAAGCCATAAAGCCTTTCTTCATTTCATATATGAGAGGGATTCTAAAACGGTCTAATGACTATGGAACATATTTTCAAATTAGAATTTTGGTTAATTATTAGCTTTAGAAATTTCACGTTTCTATACAAGATTAAATATTGTCATAAAAATTTATATTTTTTTTCATTAATTCCTTGACACGGACACTGAAAAATCTGAAATTTTAGCCTGACAGACACGCCCAGTTATGTATAAAATAGATTTTAGGTAATCAAGGGGCAGAATTCTTATACTCTCAAAATATCCTTTTCAAGGAATATCTCTTAAGTTGACAATATACATACAAGCTCTGATTAAAAAACTAATGCAAACTCTTTCAATTATTTAAGGAGAATTATGTGGAAAATTTGATTCTATTTTTTAAATAAATGTTTAACATTGCAGAAAAACTTTTGAAAATACAGCAAATCATCACAATTTTATTGACAATGGCAAAATGTTTATTGAAAGAGCAACTTGCAAGACACGTTTTTACTTGAAGGGGTATTTTAAATTGTTGATTTTGTATATAGTTGTAGCTTAAATTTTTTTTGTTTTGAAAAAAGCTGTAGCTTTAATTCTTGTTTTTTGAAAAAGTTGCAGCTTAAATTGTTGTTATTTGAAAAAGTTGTAACTTAAATTGCTGTGTTTTTCCAAAAGTTGTAGCTTAAATTGCTGTTTTTTTGAAGAAGTTGTAGCTGAAATTGTTTTTTATTTTCAGGAGAGTTCTTTTATGACCGTCCAAAATGAGCATCCGTCCTATGAATGGCTCCTTCTAGGGAGCTCTGCATCGGATTCGCCACAAAACTTTGAGCAATTGTATAGTGCTATCAGAAGAAATGATGTTAAAGCGGTACAGAAGATTTTAGAAAATCCTTTAAATTCCGAAAGCCTTTGTGAAATTTCGGATGATGAGAAAAAGTCGCATAAGATTTTAGATCGAAAATTGTCTCCTGGGAAAGAGCTTCCACCTATCTTTGCAAATGCACTTTTCTTAGCTATAGAATTTGAATCATTTGATGTTGCACAATCTCTTTTAGAATATGGTGTAGATCCCAATTGTTCCATTTTAGAAGGCAGCTATCATTCAAACCGTTCTCAAAATAGCGGGTACGTGTGCTCACGTCAGTGCCTGGATTCATATTTTAGAACAGTATTTGTTACACCAGAAGGAAAGACTATATTTTACGACGAGCATTATACTCAAGAAATATTTTTTTCCCTCGCACCTTTATTTTTAGCCGTAGCAAAAGGAAATGCTATAATGGTTCACTTACTTTTACAGTATGGTGCATCTCCCAAAATTAACGACAAACATGGTGTTACACCTCTACATATTGCTGCTTTACAAAACAAAGTCTCCTGGTCATGTATTCGTCTTTTATTGGAAAGAGGAGCCCCCATTGAAGTAGCAAATAATCATGGAGTTACTCCTGCTCAGCTTTTAAATCCTGATCTTAGTTTACTGCAGAGATCTTTAATAGAAGATGCATTTAGTTGTTTCTTAGCTCATCCTGTCTCCAAGGTAGAAGGAGAAGAATCTTTTCTCAGTACGGGAAATACATTTCGGAATCATTTCCTTTTAAAACGCTTTCAAGACAACAAATCCAAAATTTCGAAGGATGAGGATAGTCATTCTTCTGTACAGCGTAGCAGTATAGAAACAAGTTCTCATATCGAAGAAGAAGAAACGGTAAGATTTAACATGTTTAATCTCTTGCATTGAAAAGACGTGCCACACACGTCAACCATACTTTTAGGCACAAATCACGTTGTTCCGCCGTGCAACTGAAAAAAGAACAGTGTAAGTTTTTTAAGAAAGATTTCGAGAAAAGCGTCTCGTAGCCGTTTGTCTTACCCATTTTAATGATATAAACTCGAAAATAGCTTAACGTACAAAAATGTTAAATTACAAAAAAGTCTTACATTTTTGTCTGTTACACTGTTTTTTTTTATTGCATGGCAGTCTACTTCTTGGTAGGAAAAAAAAAGAAAAAAGACAGAAATAAAAAAGGCGTTTGTCTTAAAGGAGTAGAAAATATTGTTTCAATATTTATATAGTCATCGAACGCATCAGTTGCAATCGAATGTTTTTTAATATATTTTTCTTGAACGGTAATGAATTTCTAGCCAGTGCAAATGGTGCTTTTTCGAAAAGCCGCATTTTAAGCAAAATTTTAGTTTTAAATAATGCCCAGCTGAAAAGAATTGTAGACTTTAAAATGGATTTTAATTTCTTAAGATAAAAATAACGGATAATACCTACACTGGTGCAAGAAGTTAAGATAATTTGCAGACTTGGTCGATAATCTCTAGAACTACGGTCTGTCCTGTTCGTAGAAGTGAGCAGGGCGTAAATAGCAGGTCTTCTTGCAAACAACCCTCTCTCATGAAGTCATTTGGAGACAGTCACCCTTGATACATGGGTTCCTGTGGCAGCATACAAGTCACGAGGAAGCTGAGAAGCTGTAGCCCCTCTGTTACACTTAGCTATTATGGACAATTGGTTATCTTCTCCGGCCGTCGTGGCTCTTGGACGACCTTGACCAGGCTTTCTCTCAATGGATCCGATATCCTGGAACTGTTTTCATAAGTTACACACGACGCTGGGCGTTAAATTGAACTCTCTATAAATCTGGACTTGAGATTGGCCTGCTTCTCGCCTCCCTACAATTCGCCACATCATTCCATCATCTAAACGTTAGTGGCTACTCATTTTTACTGTTACAATTTGAATTTATCCCATTGCTGCAAAATAACACCAAGAAATACGCCGAGGTGTGCTAACGAGCGAAATGCGTCTTAACTTACGCTCACTTATAAAGCCTGTTTCTCTACCGGTTCCACCTAAACACACGTGTACGCTTACGTATTTGATTTACAAGATTTGCATTTTTGTCTAGAAGCAATGGTTTTACATTCAGTTCAGTTCTTTTTATGAAATTCGATAAAATGTGCAAATTCTCTTAATTTATTTCACCAATGTAGATAAAAGAAATCATTATCAGTGTTTTTCGAAGCGCTTTCACCAAAAACTAAATAAATAAAAATTTGTTATCGACTTAAATTATAAACTGTCCTAAGGTACATAACAAGGCATTGATCTGGGTAAGTCAGTTTTATAAAAGTAATTTTAAGCCAATAATAAAACACTCTATTTTTTAAAGTGCCAAATTAAGAAAATACACATAAATTAAAAAGAATTAAGAATATACACACATACCGATGAACGTGGACATTGCAGATATGTTTTGTTTCACACCAAGTAATATATTCTGCGTGAATGATTGTCTGGAAATTTCGAAATTTTGATTAAAAACAACAAAATTTTCACTAATTTTAGTTAGATAAGGTACTTTAGGTACTTTTATTTACTTCACACTAGAGCTGCACAATGGGCTATCGGCGACGATTTGGGTAACATTCGTGAGGATGATCCAAAGACATACCATAGCATTTTTGATCTTCTGCAGAGGCTGCTTTGGTAGCTGGAAGACCTGCGCGCGAAATCGAGCACTTTGCGGTTGAACAGTTTAACGAGCACCAATACCGCAAACTCCTACGCAGGCTGATCAAAGTGGTCACCCACCCGTTTACTGAGCACAGCCAGTGATGCTTGACTGAAAACCGTGTCTTTCGATTAGTCCACTGCGGCCATCTAAAGATTCTCCATTTCCCCCCCCTTCCCTTCAAACTAACTACATAGATGACTCGGGGGGATAGAACCTTCTAATGAGGTGAACCGGGTTCCAATCCCAGCGATGGCTGGTTGATACGAATTCTGCATCCGGCTTGTTCCGACCACAGGGTTGACATAAAATATCCTCACTGGTAGACGGATCATGGGTTAGAGTCCCTTTTGACAGGCAAACTGTGGCAGGTCTCGTGATCTTTCTCTCCATGTAACTCAAATGCTGGTTAGTTCCATCAAAATGTCCTCCATGATGGCAAATTTCTCTTAATACTTGATCCAGAAGTTTCATTGTCTTAGCACATTTGGATTTTGCTTACAATTTTAATAGATAAAGAAGTAAAGTTTATACCATTTCCAGCGTCGCATACGCATGCTCTAAAGGTTTTTCTGATCCACTTCAGAAGAGCAAAATGTAGTAAACTGTAACTACTTCGTTAAAAATGAAGTGAACTGTTTTTTAAAAGTAGTTATTGCAAACTACTTTCGAAATGTATTAACTACATCACTACTTTAAGGAGACGAACTTAACTGGAGAACTTAATTTACAACTGCATTCAAAATGGTTTTGAGTAAAAAATTGGCTTCTATTAAACATGAAGAATTATTAAGAAATATTTATTCATGCTTACATGAGCCAGTTCATGGACGTCGTAACCAGAGCTGTCTGAATTCTTCAGAAATTAGGGACCATTATTTTGAGAAAATATTATCTATATAATTTCTCAAAGCACTGCATAAAAAATTTAACAAGTGTTTGGAGAACTACAAGAATTTTCCCCCTTTGCTTTATTAGTAAATTTCCTTTGATGGGCAATCTAACGCTCAATTCTTTTTCTCCATGCACTTAACTGATTGAGATTAATTCTAAGGTATCCCTTAACTTTCAACAACACCCAAGGAAAGTCATTTGATACCTCAAAAATAGTGGCCTCAGTTTAAGTTATGGGAAAATGTTCTTCGCGTTTTGAAATACTCTATTTCTGGAATTCGCATTTCTGGAACCCTATGTTATCTTTTAAAAATGTTGGATATCGACAGAACCATCCCTTTATTGGATATCTCTTAATAAATTATCTCAAGCAGGAAATAATCTAGAATTTCTAGGAAAACAGACGTATTTACATTTTAGGGAATGGGGAGACTCGTGCTAATATTTTTTATTTTTCGGTGATTTTGTGAGGAAAATTTCTCTGACATTCTAAATCTTCGCCTACAAAGCGTTCAGATTTCGATTCCACCATCATTTAAATTAGATATTCCCAGTCATTTATTAAAACTAATCTTTTGATTTCAAGAACTCATTAAATAAATCCATTTCTTGGAAGATAAGCCGGATGTTTGTGCTAAATTATGTTGTCTGTTTATGTTTCATAGTTTATATACCAAATATATTTATATCGTACATTAGTTGATGAATTTACATTTCATTGTTCGCATTTTTAATGCATAGAGTTTGTTCATATTTTATATTTATGAAATTAATGTAACGTTTAAATTTTTTAAATTATAAATAAAAAATGAGAACTTTTAGGATTTTTCAAAAACTTTGTTTTCTTTCATAAATTAAATGTCACGTGTAAAATTAATTTAGTTAAAAATTAGTTTCACTACTTCGTGTGCTCTACTCACAACCACTGGTGTTGAAGGATTATTCTAGTTCTTACAATATTGTAGGAATATGAAAGTTTGTCAATAAGCCTTTTTATGCATTCTTTTATATTATACTTTAAACTGGAGCAGTGATGCCTCGTTTAGCCGGGGCTGTGATGTGTCGTTGGGGATAAAGCGTTTGACTTCGAATCAGGCGAACTGAGTTCGAATCCCAGCAATGGCTGGTCGATATGAATTCCGCACCCGGCTTGCACCGACCACAGTGCTGGCGTAAAAGATCCTCAGTGGTAGACGAATCTAGGGTTAGAGTCCTTTTTGCCGTCAGGTTAACCGTGGGAGGTTTTCGTGGTTTTCCTCTCCATGTCACGCTAATGCGGGTTAGTTCGATTAAAAAGTCCTCCACGAAGGCAAATTTCTCCCAATACTTTATCCAGGAGTTCTCTTGTCTTCTGGATTGGATTCAAAATTACAAGTCTACGTTGTTCAACATTAGTAGTCGTAAACGTGAAACACTGGGTCTACTGTTCAACGACGGTGAAATACTTTCAACTTTTGGTATAGTAATAGACATTGTTTTCCATTGAATTATGTATGCGCACTTCTTCGATTCAAAGCTATTTAGTGTATCTTGGAGGACAGCAAGTCAAAACTCAATCTTCTTGGAGAGAAGAATATCACTGTTTGGGCGAAGTACATACTTAGCTGACTGAACTGCGTCAGAATGTTAATTTTATTGCTAAAAATATAGAAGTGACGAGATCATAAGCATTGGACTACTAGCATATTGACACATCAACTCCCCATGAAAAGCTTCCAGTAGCGTCCTTTAAATTATTACAATGTAAATTATTTCATTTGGAAGAAAACTAGTCCAGTTGTAAGTAACAAGCAGGGGAATTCTTTTTGTGATAAGGCCATTAAGTTCAGAGAAAGCCGTATATCCTCTACAAACACTGGAAAACTGACCTAAGCTTAGGGTTGAGCGGTGCAAACAGAATTCTAAGATAGCATCTGAGCACAAACTGTAACTAGTTTACATCAAAGTGGTGTTTCACTAAGTTTTTCACTACAAGGATAGTTCTTAGTGTAGAGAAACATCCTAGAAAGTTTATTTACACTACTTGGTGTAAAGTCTCTATGTTTGTTATTCAGTAAAACATATAATAAGATATGATAGACATAAGAATCAGTAAAGTTACTTTTATAATTTCAATCTGAAGCAAGAATAGTCCCGCACTGGACTGATCGTTAAGACACGATTCCCAGCAGATCACCGAAGTCAAGCATCACTGGCTCTGCAGTCAGTATAGACTTAGAACTGACTGGTCCCATAGCAGACTGATCTTAAAGACACCATTCCCAGTAGATCACCGAAGTTAAGTCTATTTGGCAGCTGTCAGTGAGCGGATGAGTGACAACTCTCATCAACCTGTGAATGACCGTACTTTCACTACATAAACGGTGGGTGGGTGAGGACTTGTATCAGTCTACGAAGGGACCGAGGATGTGCGGTATTGATCCCCGTCAAACTGTTCTACCATAAAGTGCTCGACTGGCAACTCTGCAGAGGATCGAAATTGTGATGTCTTCGGATCAGGAATTTTTCCCAGACCATCGTGCAGATCTAGTGCTACACAACAACAACTGTAGCAAGAATCATAAGTTCAGGATGAATATACAATATTTCAGTTTGTTTATCAAGCACACATATAAAACAGACAGAATATTAATATGAATTTGAATAAAGTTAAAGTAAATCGAATACAATTGAAAGATTAATGCAAAACATCTGAGGACATAAATATTTTTATTATGCAAACAATAAAGCATATATAACAACATAAAAAAAATATACTTGCATTTTATTAAAGTTTTCATGAGTAGTTTGTCAAATGGAACGACAAAAAGATTGAAATTACTTGGCAAATTATCAACCGTACTCAATATTTTCTATAAATCATTAAAGAGAATTTATAATTACTTGGCTATAACCAATTTGTCAATTAAATTCTGACAAGAAACACTCATATTTCTCCGATACACTTCATGTAATTAAACCGCCATAATGGCAGTATCTTGAAATCGCATAATCTTTAACTTCTAAAAAATGTCCCAAAAGACTCGTTACACGTTAGAAACAGGCCTTCCCTTCATTTCACACAAGAATTCAGTTAAATAGTTTAAATATACACTAACTATTCGCTAAATTTACAGAGCTCCGAAAAACACCATTTTATGCAGTTGTTTTTTGTTACAAATATGGGTGATTCTTTTTAAACATGACAATTCGGACCAAAAAATTTCTTCAAATGCAAAGTCTTCGAAATAATCTAAACATTTTTTTGTATACTTCTTTAGTTACACTTATTAATATCTTACAGACAGCAGTATAGTTTATTGACATTTGCTCGAGAAGAAAAATAAAATGGAAATTCACCAAATCTTGAATGCCAGGAAAATGACATACTAGCTTAGAAGTTTAAAAAACAGTCATTTTAAGTTAATAGTAAGCAACTCAACTTAGGCCTTTATGTTAGATGGACCATAAATTGCTTAAATTAATTCTTTATATCCACTATAGGAAGAATAAAAAAAAATTTTGTTGCTGACATGTACAGAATAAAATTGTGTATAATAATCAATCATTAGATAAATAAATAACTTCCATTACACTCAAGCATATTATAATCATACATAAACTTGGTAATAGGTTAATATTTGCTTTCCCTCCTTGCAGTATTAGCAGTTTAAAAAAATCTGGTAACACTTCAATGTTCTGGCATTCATAAGCCAGGAAATTGACAGCCAGGATAATGACAAATTCGCCATTTTATAGCATATAACTTTACTTTAATTTAATATTTTGGCCCAAGACGTTTATATTCTGCAGAAAACAACAGGATTTCTTAAAATAACTCAGATAAATCTATGTAGTTTATGTTATTAATGACAGGAAAATGACAACACAAAAACCTACTCACCCTGAAGAATTTTTTGAAGTAGAATTGGTTCTTTATTCATGCAACAAGACATGTTCATATAGGAGGGTATTTAATCAATTTATTAACATAAGATATTGATCGCTGGCTCTATCTATTTTGGTTATAAACCACTAAATACCACCGGAAAATGACAGATTTTCTAGAGACAAACAAATTATTGACAGAAAAAAAATTTGTAAACGAATTTTTTGTAAATAATAACCCCTGCGTATATTCTAGAAATGCTTACACCGGTTGAGATAAAAAAAACTAGATATTGAAAAATTTATGGGAAGTTTTGAAGCTAGTCATTACTGGAAACATTGTTTGGGACATGCCAGGAAAATGACATTTTGAAGTTCAATTAAATTTTTTAACTATACAAAACAGTCAATGCTAGTGCAAAGTCATTTTAAAATGCTAACCGCAATGCTATTTATTAATTTTTTGAAAAAAGTTCTTTTAGTATTATAGTTATAGATCTTAGAGCAAGGGACAATGAATTGTCATATTTCGTGAGAATTACCCATATATATATATAACGGTCGTTGAACTGCCGACCCAAATTTCAACTTCGTTGCCTTGTAATTTTGAACCCAATCCAGAAGGCAAGGGAACTCCCGGATCAAGTATAAAGAGAATTTTACCTTCGTCGAGGACTTTTTGCTAGAACTAGCCCGCATGTGCGTTACATGGAGAGGAAGACTACGAAACCCTCCCTCAGTTAGCCCGACGGTAAGGGGACCCATGATCCGTCTACCACTGTGGTCGGGGCAAGTCGAATCATTGCTGGGACTCGGTTCACCTCAATGTAAGGCCATCACAGCTCATGAGTTGCAGATTAGTGTAATCAATTATTGGTGTTAAGATTTAACTTTGAAGTGTTAAAGACAAGGTTCGGTTTTAACTGGAAATTAAGTAATTCACAATTGTTTAGAGCTTTTCAACTCGAATAGATATTACACCTCAGTTTTCAAAGCGTTTAATAATAAGTGCTGAAATAAAATCAAATAAATCATCGATTCAAACATTGTCGAAAATGTTAAAAAAATTTTCTCGACAGAAAAGTCGATTAAACTAGTATCAGGTTAGAGCAAATATGATTTTAAAAATTGCCCACCTGTTTCATTGAAATTCCTTTGATAAATATATTTATTTAAGCCAGTTATTTTTTTCCTGAAATAAGGTTTCCCTTTGATTTCTTTTTATTTTTCCATCTATCTCAGTGGGGCAATTTTCTGATTCGCTAGATTTTACAAATTGAATTTTTTTTTTTTAAATAAAACTTCTCTTTTAGTCTGTTGAATAGTTTTATGCTCGGAAAATAAAAACAAAAATTCTTTTCAGTGATAAAATTTTCTTTCGTTCATCCAGATCTAACTTTTGCTGTGATTGGCTAAGTTCGTCGCGAAAAATAAAAATAATGTGAGTGTTGCTATTTTGTTTTTAGAAATGGAGGTACAACAAGATGTTTGGAAACGGAATCCTTTTAAAAGCTTGTTTCTCAGATCTTTAGAAATGATTAAAAAAAATCAATAAGTAAAATCGGCGGAATGATAGGTGTTCAAGGCCACTTTACTTTAGCTTGAAGCAACACTTGCATTCAATATTTATTACACTATATATATGAAATATTGAGGATATAAAATGTTTTTTTAAAGTCTCATTTTGAGGTTGTGGTGAAACGATATTCTGGTAAAACACTTTTCAAAAACCAACTTTCAAGAGGGCTCTTAATAGAAAGTGTCAAATTTTAAAAAAAAAATTATTTCTCTTTTTCATCTTTGTGTGATTAAATATTTATAGCGAATTATTCATTATTAATGCAAAAATATATTTTTTCAGATTGAAAGTGTTGATCAAAGGCGACGAAGTAATACTAAGTTTAAATTAAAAGGCTGTACTTCAAGTAAGAATGTTTTTTTATTTATTGAAAAAAGAATTGTTGAATAAACACTAATGCACATTTTTAAAAATTGAAGGAATTGATTTTCTTCTGGGAGTTTTGCTAACAATGCTTTTCATGAATGTTTTTATAATTTTTGTCAAAAATGAATGGGAAAAAGTATACTCCTTAGGGACCGTTGATACATATTGAAGCAAGGAGGAAACAAAAACGATCAAAAATTTGTAATATTTGAAAATTTGAAAATTTGTTCCAGTAAAGAAGATGGGCGGTATAAAAACATAAAACTAAGTTTGATGACTTCATAAGACTTCGAGATGTTTCGAATAACCACTTTTCAATTTTTCTTTGTTTCCTCTGGCAATCAAACAGGTTTTGTAGATAGTGTTTTGCTTTAATGTTAATTAGCGACCCTTGACGTGCATATTTGCTTTTACTTCAGATTTGACTATACTCTTTTTAAACAGACTAAACATCACAAGTTTGCGTGATTTTCCTACTCTCCACATTTCCCCCCTCTTCGTCACCAGTTTACTTGACTTTTCCACTCTCCACATTTTTTTTCTCTTCACTTCCATTGTTCGAGAAAATCTCGTTTTGTTCTCACGGTATTACGGTTCAGTTAAAAGATGAATATATTTTAAAAAATCTAGACTTACCTAAAGGATGGAAGGAGAGAGGGAAACGTAAGAAGAGTGGGAAACCTAGAGACGAATATTCTATTTACAAAAAGTATAGTCATTTAAAACTGTGATAATTAGGGAACATCCGATAGAAGGGAACACTTTGCTTTTCGAATTGATTGTAAAAGTCTATTCTAAAACATAACGCTATAATGACTGAAAAGCTTTTGTCTCGATACACATTGTGTGCGTCTCTCAGGGATTATTTTATTTTATTTTCTAATCCTTTCATTAATAATAAGCCTATTTTATTTATGCTGAAAAATTATACCATTTTATAATTTTTAAAATTTTATTGCATTGCAAATGAATCAGATTTTTAAATACCTTTTATTAATTGAATACTTATGAATTTTAAAATCGTTATTAAAAAATTCATTTTGATGTCATAAATGAAGTGTTCGAAATAAAAAGTAGTTTATAATATTTGAGAAGAATTATTTTAATTTTTTCTTATTGTAGCTATTTTTTTCCTTAAACAGGCAAAATCACTAGATTTTTTTTTTCTAAGACCCAGCGACCCATATTTTGGACAATATTTGGTATAATGTTGAAGAAATATTATTTTATTTCCTGTTTCGTGTATGCCTTCACGAATCAATTGCCTATATAAAAATGTTTTATTCTTGTTTATCTAATTTTATAATTAAAATTTATAAGATAAATCTCGTAACAGAGTGTAAGGTGTAAAAAATAAAAAAAGGACAACCCTGAATAACTTTTGATCCCTAATGATCAAACGTTGTAGGACTCAATCATGTTTTTCGAATCTCTGTTGGCAAGGAAAATAAAAAAGCCTCAGTTTAAGTACCTTACACTTGAAGCAATGTGATGACTACGTATATCCTCATGCCGTGGTGAATTATCCCGACTTTAGAATGAACAAATACAGAGCCGGATTATACCTTTCGTAGGCTCTATGCATAGCCCTTTTTTGGCCCTTCCCCCACTCCTCCCCTCTTTTCAAAATATATGCTAAAATTTTCTTGCATATTTTTTCACATTTTTTTAAACATTTTTATTAATATGGATTTTAATTTACAAATTTGTTTATCGAACTTTATCTGCAATACCGACATACTGCCGATATTGCAGTTGATATCGATAATACCGTTATGATTTGTTCGCTCGATAACTATGTAAACGTCAACAATACAACAACAAACCAGCAAAGAAAACAGTGAAATTGAAAGTGATATTTGTCGATTCTTGAATCAAATGCAGAAGGAGAAAGATCTTTCTCCAGATTAAAATTGATAAAAAATTATTTGCGTTCAACAATGAATCAAGATCGTTTGGCATCGCAAGAACGTTTGGCATCGTCTATTGAATACGACATTTTGCTTAGTTTGGAATTCGACAGCATAATACAAGATTTCGTTGAATCCAAAAATCGCAAAAAAGTAATATAATAAGATTCTGCAAAATAATTTATTACCGAAAAATATTATATTTTTATTTGTATCTTCATAATTTTGTGCAAAATACACTTGTTGTTTTTAAAGCTAAATTATTTTTGTCAACAAATTTTTTTCTCCCAAGTTTTTCGTAGGGCCCTGAATTTCGTAAGGCCTAGGCACGTGCCTAGTGTGCCTATAGGTTAATCTGGCCCTGAACAAATAGCTTAAATATATTTAAAGTTATTTAAATTTTTAAAAATCTCCAATTAGGCGACATTTTTCCATCTAGATGAAAATTATCAAAATCACTGTCACTATTTTTGCAAACTTTTATGAGCCAGCATTGGAGTAAGTTTATTAGACCAAAAACGCTTTTCGTTTTCCAAAAACTGTTTTGCGCCTTTTTCAAAACAAGTATATACACAGATAGCTTTAAATAGGCTAAACTTGACCTAACAGTGATGAGATCGCAACAAATCATCATTTTATATGACGACAGAGCCATCGAAAAACAACTGTTCGAGGGGGTGATCTCAATAATGTTAATTAATTAGTGAAGACGATATTCTAAGTAACGAAATCAGACACAAAAACGTACTTTCTCTGAGTAAACATACTTCTTTTTCAACGGATTCGCTCATCTGACCCCTAAAATATGGGAAGTAATCTCAATCTGAAAAATATGCTTACAACAGTTTCTTCAGGAGAGTGCTCCAAAGTTTGGCTCTAAGTTAATTATACTTTTTGCGAATTACACTCGGGAACTCTTTAAACGAATTGAAAAATTTTTGCACACAGTTATAAAATTCGTTTATCGAAAGCCAATTTCATGGAAAATATAATAAAAGTTACATAAAAATAGTCATTTTAGTAAATATTTCTTATTTTTTATTAGTCTATTTAATAATGGCTAAAAACGTTTTGAATAGTAAATAATAGACAATTTTAAAAGAAAGACAATTTTAAATGGCAAAATACAAAATTTATGCGAAATTAATCGAGTAGTTTCATCGAATTTTGAAGAAGTCGTATGTTTAAAATTCGCAGGAACTATTCGACCGATTTCGCATAAATTTCGTATTTTGCCATTTAAAACCTCATTTTATGCGATATCGGTCGAATAGTTCCTGAGAAATTGAATTTTAAATATACGACTTTTTCGAAATTGGATAAAACTTTGTATTTTGCCATTCAAAATTTCATTTTTTTGAATGATGTAAAAACTTATATATCTCACAATTTAAAAGTTTGTGGAATATTATTAAATAAAATAATAAAAATTAATAAATACTTTCTAAAAGTTAATTTTTGCATGTGTAAACAAATTTTATAATTGAATGCAGTTCTTCCTAATTCACTTAAAAAGTTCACGAGATATGGCGAAATATGCAAAAAATTTAATTAACATGAAGAGACTTTGGATTGCTCTCCTGACCAAACTATTGGGACCAAATGTCCCAGATTGCGGCTACCCCTTATATTACCCTTCAAAAACCCTTCAAAACCCGAATATTACCCTTCAAAAATCCGAATGCGTCGAAAAAAAGCATGTTTATTCAGAGAAAGTGTTCTTTTTTGTTTGATTTCGTAACTTAAAATATCGTTTGCCCTAATTAAATAGCATATTTCATGTCACCTCCTCAAACCATTAAGATTGTATTCTACAACATGAAGATCCGATGATTAGACCAAAAGTTATTCAGAGTGATCAGTTTTTTGTGTGCACTGTTCTTTAAAGTAAGTCACCTTGTGTGCTGCTTTGAATATTTTTTTAAAATAATTATTTATATATGGCAATAAATTATTGGACTATTCTGAAATTTGTATTCAATCTTTTCAAAGACACATTTCTAAAATGCTCGTTGAAATATATTCGTAAATACATTCAGCGCCTGCCATTGGAAAAAAAAATATTCGTAAATACTAAGAAAAACGCTGAACCTTCAACGCATTCCCAGAAAATGGTTTTATATCACTTTTATTTTCGTTTCATATGAGTTTGAAACGGTTTCCACGACCGATTTCTGTTTGAAGCTAAACTTCTAAAAAATTATATTACAGTATTTTAGACATTTTTTCAGTTTTGTCTCAAACATCTGAAAGATGCTCATGCACAAAGCTTTATCTGCACTAAAATTCATAAAAAAGTTTTGAAGGATATTCTTATTTTATTTTATAATCGTCGTTGAACAGCTCACCCAATTTTTTGGGCTTTTGAGTACTAATGTTCAACTCCATCGCTTTGAAATTTTGAACCCAAATCAGACGGCAAGGGAACCCCTGGATCAAATATTGGGAGAAGTTTGCCTTCGTGGAGGACGTTTTAATGGAACTAACCCGCACTACATCCAGAGGAAAAACACGAAATTTTTTCACGGTTAGTGTGACGGTAAGGGGACTCTAACCCATGATCATTGAGGATAGTCAGCACTGTTGTCGATCAGGATTCGTATCGACCAGCCATCACTGGGATATTAACCCGGATCCCCTCATAGGAAGGCGAACTTTCTATCCCATGAGCTAAAATAAAAAAAGTATTTGCCATGAATCATCAATATCAATCTTGATATAAAAATAAATTTAATAAAACTTTCAGAAGACCTGACATCAACGATAAGAAATCGCCTTATTTTATGGGATTGGCCCGCTTTTTTCAGTTGTCATTTGTTTAGTGAATATTTTGGTAAATATATTCACGATATATATTTATTTTAATAATAAATTCATCGACTCGGACCTTAAAAGTACTTCGATCCTGTAAGATCATTTGATTTTTTTCAAAAAAAAATTATTACAACAGCGATTGAAATTGATGGAATAAATTCAAAATGGAAATTAACATTATTATTAATAAAATAATATTACTATAATTATAATCATAAAGATGCACTAAATCTAAGAAATCTAAGAAAATACGACA